TGTAAAAGAATGAAACTAGAACACTTTCTAACACCATACACAAAAATAAACTCAAAATGGATTAAAGATCTAAATGTAAGGCCAGAAACTATAAAACTCCTAGAGGAAAATATAGGCAAAACACTCCCTGACATAAATCAAAGCAGAATCCTCTATGACCCACCTCCCCCAGAGTAATGGAAATAATAGCAAAAATAAACAAATGGGACTTAATTAAAATTAAAAGCTGCACAACAAAAGAAACTATAAGCAAGGTGAAAAGACAGCTTTCAGAATGGGAGGAAATAATATCAAAAGAAGCAAATGACAAAGAATTAATCTCAAAAATATACAAGCACTTCCTGCAGCTCAATTCCAGAAAAATAAACAACCCAATCAAAGATTGGGCCAAAGAACTAAACAGACATTTCTCCAAAGAAGACATACAGATGGCTAATAAACACATGAAAAGATGGTCAACATCACTCATTATCAGAGAAATGCAAATCAAAACCACCATGAGGTACCATCTCACATCAGAGAGAATGACTGCTATCAAAAAGTCTACAAACAATAAATTCTGGAGAGGGTGCAGAGAAAAAGTTACTCTCTTATACTGTTGGTGGGAATGCAAACTAGTACAGCCACTATGGAGAGCGGTGTGGAGATTCCTTTAAAAACTGGAAATAGAAGTACCATATCACCCAGCAATCCCACTGCTGGGCATACACACCGAAGAAACCAGAATTAAAAGGACACGTGTACCCAAATGTTCATCACAGCACTGTTTACAATAGCCAGGACATGGAAGTAACATAGATGTCCATTGGCAGATGAATGGATAAGAAAGCTGTGGTACATATACACAATGGAATATTACTCAGCTATTAAAAAGAATGTGTTTGAATTAGTTCTAATGAGGTGGATGAAACTGGAGCCTATTATACAGAGTGAAGTAAGTCAGAAAGAAAAACACCAATACAGTATACTAACACATATATATGGAATTTAGAAAGATGGTAACAATGACCCTATATGCGAGACGGCAAGAGAGACAGATGTATAGAAAAGTCTTTTGGACTCTGGGAGAAGGCGAGGGTGAGAGGATTTGAGAGAATAGCATTGAAACATGTATATTATCATATGTGAAACAGATCACCAGTCCAGGTTCAATGCATGAGACAGGGTGCTCAGGGCTGGTGCATCAGGATGACCCTAAGGGATGGGATGGGGAGGGAGGTGGAAGGGGGGGTTCAGGATGGGGAATACATGTACACCTGTGGTTGATTCAATGTATGGCAATGGTTGTCATATGTTTGGCATATGTCATATGTATGACAACCATTCGTGGTTATCAATGTATGGCAAAAACCACTACAATATTGTAAAGTAATTAGCCTCCAATTAAAATAAATAAATTAATTTAAAAACAAAACAAAACAAATGCTATTAGAATCAATGTATCAAAGATAAAGGCTGTATTGGCTGTTTTTCATTATTTTTGCTTTATTCTTAATGCCTACTTTTGACTTTTACATTTTTACAAAGATAAGAAAGTTACATATAGCAATGATTTCCTATGCAGAATGAAATATGAAAGCTGGGTACAGAAATGGGGCATTTCACTTCTTACACTATATTACTTTAAGAAATATAAAGAAAAAATTTTTTAAGAATTTAATGTAATTCTGTAGAAGTATAAGAGATCTTTTAGCTTTTAAGAACAAGAGTAAGGACTTCCCTAGGGGTCCAGTGGCTAAGACTCCGAGCTCCCAATGCAGGAGACCCAGGTTCAATCCCTGGTCAGGAAACAAGGTCCCACAAGTTGCAACTAAGACCCAGTGCAGTCACAAGAGCATATTCATATCCACATTTACAGTAAGGTACTGGTTATATCACATGCTCATTACTAAAAACACTAAATAAACAACTGAATAAAATTTAGACCTATGAAATAATCTACATCAAAAAAAAATCTCACATATAAAACCTGTTGCTAAACATCTTTGGCAGCCTTAGATAAAATCTAATTTCACAATTACACTGGAATGCTGAGATATTTGCTCAGTGGTTTATTAACATGAGAAATAGCATTAGTTGAGGAAAAATAAAAGAAACAGTATAATTTTCTCAAATACTGTACCATAGTTAGCCACTGCTTTTCCACCTTTCCTCCTTATTTCTTCAACAACCTTATCAGCAGCTAAGGAGCTTTTGCCAACTCCTGTGGAGTCCCCTCCTAGGTCATTCACTGCAATGCAAAAATAAACAAAAAAGAATTCAGTTCTAGACCTCAAAAGTACAAGGTGAAATGAAATTACATTATTAGCATATGTTTTCAGTCATCTTCCTAATTCCCTCCTACTGTATTTCTATACTACTGAAGACACCATGATATATGTACTTTCAAAACACGTCTCTTTGTTTTTAAATATAGATATGAAGCAGTGAAAATATTTAAACACAGGTTCATGCCATGAAATTTTCAACTGTGCAATGCTTCCTTTTTAGAAAGCAAAAGATTGATTCAACCCATTTTTAGGAAAAAAAAAAAAAAAGGAAAAGAAAAAAAATCACTTTTAAGAGTAAACACAAAGGAAAACAGTATGGACATCCTTCATAAAAAATTAAAAATAAAACTGTCATATGATCTGGCAATCCCACTTCCATGTATTTATTCAAAAGAACTGAAACCAAGAACTAAAGAGATAACAGAACTCCAGTGTTCAATGCAGCACTATTCACGATAGCCAAGATGTGCAAACAATCTACATATTAATTGACAGACAAAATGAATAAAGAAAAAGTGGCCAATGCGCTATTATTTAGGCTTTAAAAAAAAGAAGGAAATTTTGCAATATGTAACAACATGGATAAACCCTGAAGATAATAAGGTAACCCAGTCACAGAAGGCCAAATACTGCATGATTGTATCTAAAATGGTCAAATTCATAGAATCAGAGAGTAGAATAGTGGTTGCAGAGATTAGCAGGAGGAGAAAATGGGAAGTTGCTAATCGGTGGGCATAAAATTTCAATAATGCAAGATGAAAATGTTCTAGAGATCTTATCTGCTGTACAACATAATGCCTGTAGTTAATAATACTCTATTGTACATTTAAAAATTTGTTAAAAGGGTAGATCTCATATTAAGAGTTTTTATCACAACTGAAAAAAGAAAAGAAAGGTTAAATAACATAATGTGACATCTTCTCCATGTCAAGAAAGCCATTTACAGCAATGGTGATAAAGAACAAGCATATTAAATTCACAGTGGTGAATTTTTGTAAAACATAATATGTCATGGTCTACCAAAAAAGAAATAAAACTATTTATTGAAAAAGGTCAAAAACTACACACACGACTAACATGTGTTCAGTCACTAATTTATACTAAAATATATGTAATTTATGTTTCCCTAGTGGCTCAGATGGTAAAGAATCTGCCTGCAATGCAGGAGAACAGTTTCAATCCCAGGGTTGGAAAGATCTCCTGGAGAAGAGAATGGCTACCCACTCCAGTATTCTTGCCTGGAGAATTCCATGGACAGAGGAGCCTAGCCAGCTACAGTCCATGGAGTCACGAAGAGTTGGACACAATTAAGTGACTTTCATTACATTTTTACATCTTCCTATGTATATAGATACAAACATTAACTGAACATTTACTATTTGCAAGGAAATCTACAGATGTATAAGAATGGTGCCTATCCTCAAAGAGTTTATAATATACTGAAAGTTAAGTATGTGGTAATGTCTGGATGTGAGAATTGGACTGTGAGGAAAGCTGAGCACCGAAACATTGATGCTTTTGAACTTTGGTGTTGGAGAAGACTCTTGAGAGTCCCTTGGACTGCAAGGAGATCCAACCAGTCCATCCTAAAGGAGATCAGTCCTGGTTGTTCATTGGAAGGACTGATGCTGAAGCTGAAACTCCAATACTTTGGCTACCTCATGTGAAGAGTTGACTCATTAGAAAAGACCCTGATGCTGGGAGGGACTGAGGGCAGGAGAAGGGGATGACAGAGGATGAGATAGCTGGATGGCATCACCGATTCGATGGGCATGAGTTTGAGTGAACTCCAGGAGTTGGTGATGGACAGTGAGGCCTGGCGTGCTGCGATTCATGGAGTCGGAAATAGTCAGACATGGCTAAGCGACTGAACTGAACTATACTAATGCATTAATTGTATCATAAAGTATATAAAGGCAACATAACTAAATAATATGATAACAAAGGTAATTTACACAATCATTCAAGGTTGAATTTACAAAATAACAGGCAAAAACAAATGAAAAGATAAATAATGTGTCAGTCACTCAGTCATGTCCGACTCTTTGCGACTCCATGGACTGTAGCCTACCAGGCTCCTCTGTCCATGGAATTCTCCAGCCAAGAATACTGGAGTGGGTTGCCATTCCCTTCTCCAGCGGGTCTTCCTGACCCAGGGATAAAACCTGGGTCTCCCTCACTGCAGGCAGATTCTCTACCATCTGAGCCACAATAGATCGATGCCAAACATCCTGGTAAAAACAGAATTTAAGGCAAATACTGAGGACAAAGAATTAACTTGCATTGCAAAGTGATCATTTCTGTTGGGTTACTGCATAAACTGTGAGGAATATAATAATTTAAAAATTACTAATTAAAAAAGGCATAGAGATATATGCTAAAATTTAAACCCTCTTAATATGATCAAATTGATGATTATCATACCTGAAAAAAAATGCACAAGATCTTTTTTTATTTTGAAGTATAACTCTCTTATGGGGGAATGGGGGTGAGGGTTGCAACTGGGATAGAGTAGTAAAAGGAGATAAAGGGATGACTCGGAGAAAAACTAGTCAAATGTATTTTTGTGCTTAAAGGAAATTAGTTTTTCAAAATGTGGACTGAGGTATATTTTTTCTAACAATATAGTCTTATCAGTCTTATTGCAAATAAAAAAAGCTACAAAGACAAAAAATAATAGGGGAAAGGCTGACATTATCCCTCAGAGACTTTTTTTTTAAATGTTAAGATTCTCAAGACTAAACTTCTATTAACTATTCATTATTTGAGTACAGTTACTTAAATAACAGGAAATAAACAATAAAAAAAAAATCAAGATTTTGAAACACATAACTGACAGTCTTCTAAGACTCTTTTTACCCAAGCAAGGGAAAGTTCAAAAGCAAATTGACAAAGACAATACTGAAGTAAAGAAAGAAATGTTCAATTGTGAAATGAAACACTACCGCAGGTGCAAACTATTCCAAGTGCAATCAAAGGTAAACACTGAAGCCTGAATAAATAATTACTGAGATCAATGATAAATGCAGTGAAACAGTACCAAAACAGTATCAAGACAAGTATTCACCTCAGAGAGGACAAATTTAACACTGACCTTACTCAGTTACCCTTCCAGAGCTAATTCACAGGGGTTACAATCTTAACTAGAAAAGCACTGATTATACACTGACGGGCTTAGCCAGCAGCAACATTAAAAGATTGTTTGTAAAAAAAGAGCAATGTATTTATACTATGTGACCCTGTCATCACTTATATATATATATGACTAATATTCCATTTATAACAATATTTTAAAATATCCCTACCGCCTACTGTTAAAGACACATCTGGAGGAGAAGGGGACGACAGAGGATGAGATGGTTGGATGACATCATTGACTCAATTAGACATGAGTTTGAGTAAACTCCAGGAGTTGGCAATGGATAGGGAGGCCTGGCATGCTAAAGTCCATGGGGTTGCAAAGAGTCAGACATGACTGAGCAACTGAACTGAACTGACTGAATATTCCAATTATAACAATATTTTAAAATATCCCTACCACCTACTGTTAAAACACAACTTTGTACATTACTGCATTTGAGCTCCATACAGTTTTCTAGGAGTTTGGCAGGAACACTTGTTCCTATTTTTACAGAAGAGGAAAGAGTTTAGGAAAAGTTAGGTAACTTATTCCAGGCTCCAAGGCTGTATGAAATAGCAAAATTCAGACAAGAACCTGGACCCACCACAATATCACTCTGCTCCTCTAATGCTGTGAACAAGTTTCTTTTATTCTAATTATTTCCACTTTAAAAAAAAAAAGTCATGTTTGCTTGGAGAGAATACAGAAGAAACAACCTCTCTCAAACAAACAGCTTCAAAATACAGTATTTTTACTACCTATTGGTAAGATTATGATAGTTAAGGGATAGAGTCTTTTCAGCTTAAACCATCAAAATATCCCCAAAAGTGATATATTTGTAAATCTTCCGGATAAAATCCAGCTTATAGCTCTGAAGAGCTTCTTTTTTTTTTAAGATGTAAAATCTTTTGCCTATTTCCATAATTTTAAATAAATTAATGACTTGGATAGTCTATTAAAGACTATGTAAGTTTTTTTAATTAAAAATGCACTCTGAGTTTTTATTAAACACCTACTTACTATACACTAACCACTAGAGTAGGGACATAAGGATCCAGAGAATTATAAACACACTTGGAGCCTATAAAAGTATCCTATAAATAGGAAAACGGATACCTAAACACAAAGTACTGAGTTATCAGCTATCAAAGCCTGAAAACAGAACCAGTTTGTGAGAATGGCTGTTTCCCCATATCCTCCCAACACAAGACATTATCATTCTTTTCAGTATAACAATTAAATGATTATAAATTGTAGCCCGTTATTTTAGCACTAGTAAGGTTATATTATTTTCATAGGCTTGTCACTTATATTTCTGTTGACTGTTTTGTCTGCTTAAATAACATTTCATTTGGGGTGCCTTTTTTTCATACAGATGTGTACATGTTGCAAGTATGCATGCTTGTCACTTCAGTCATGTCCGACTCTACGGAACCCTGGGGACTGTAGCCCACACGGCTCCTCTGTCCATGGGAGTCTCCAGGCAAGAACACTGGAGTGGGTTGTCATGCCCTCCTGCAGGGGATCTTCCCAACCCAGGGATCTAACCCTGGTCTCCTGTGTCTTCTGCATAGCAGGTGGATTCTGAGCCACCAGGGAAGCCCCATGTACATGTCACTTATTTCTATAGATTTTAATTTTTTATCATATACAAATTATAAATTCTTTTATTGAAATGTTGAAAGAGAAACAGCAGAGCATTAATATTATTTGATAGTATTACATACATTGTTTTTTAACATTTTGTTACATAAATCAGATTGAGAAATCTGGATGTGTCTTTAGCAATCCTATTTGTGTACAGGGCTTGGCTCTCAGAAATTGGTTTTCCTGTTCTCTCATGCTGTTCTTCAGCCCTGATTACTGGCCCCAAAGACTAGAGCAAGAAACATGTTTTGGGTCTCCTGATATCAGGGCTGCTAAACCAACTGAGGCAACATATATCACTTTTAGTGTGTTGGGGAAAAAAAAAAAAGTGAATCAAACTGATTATCATCTTCCTCAAACTGTCCCACCCTCTCAGCAGCACTTTGCTGGCTAAGTCATTTCCCAGGTATTCTCTCTTTACTCCCATTTCTGAACAGAACATGCCACCAAGCTATCAAGGCGTGACATCCATTTCATTATGATTCTTCAAATACTCACCCTGTTCATACTCTGTATCCAGCACTGGGCTTGGTGCTTTGAGCTTGGGAGGTAGACAGTTTGTGTGCTGAGGAGTTTCCAGTTCTTCTGAGGAACCAATTATTGCCACTTCTTTCCTGTTCTATCATTTCATGCCCAGACTACTCTAGTGGCCTAGTGGCCTTTTCCACTAGGGCCTCTAGGCCCCTAGTGGTCTTTTCCCTCCCATCTTAATCATTCCAGGCTGCTAGCAGCCAGTGGCTGGGTAATGGCCCTACAACAGCCTTAAACTAAGTCATTCCCCCACTGAAAACCTGCAGTAGAACCCTACTATTCACTGCCTAACTTCCAAGATCCCTTAAAGTCAGACCTCACTTTACTGTTTCACCTTAGTATAATTAGTTTCTCCTCTCTGGGAAATTGCTTATATAGCAATTTCTAAGTTCCCACTTAATTATCAGGAGTAATAATGTTACAATGCTCTGTATCTGAAGAGTGCTCTATAACTGTGCTTACACATATTCCTGTTCACATATTTATTCAATCCAAGGATTTGACACTAGCTAAGTCATATCTATGACCAAAGATATATCTATAAACTACTTTTATTTCCAAAGTAAAATGGTGCTTCCAAATCTACAAAATTGAAATAACTTTTATATGCATTGATTTTGCACGTGACATGCTTTACAATGAGCAATCTGAGAAGTGTATAAAAAGATGACAAAGGCAATATTATACTACAAGTGTACTTATTTTTTGGAGAGGTTATTTACTTTTTTTTAAAGCTTTTAAGAAATTCAAACACTACAGATTCAAAAAGCCCTTTCTAACCCGTATCTTATCCCAGAGGTAACTGCTATTAATCATTTTTGAGATGTCCTTCCAGGCATTTCTGTTTCCTATGTTGATGCCTTTTCTCCCATTCTGAAAAGTTTCTGATAGCAAACAATAGCGTTAAGAATCATTTCATTGATATAGTGGGCCCAGTGGGGATTTCCTCCTGTATTCTGTTTATGTCTTGACTGCTACCAAAAAGTATTTAAAGTGCCTTAAATACAAAAGGCATGTGCAAGAACTATTAAGAAATGGAAAAATTAAGAAAATGTCACATCAGAGAAAGAGAAGCCTACTCAAAGCATAGGCTAATGGTTGTTACCCTAGTTGAGGACAGTGTCAGGTTTACCCTTAAGCTTCCTGACAGTCAAAGAAAAAGTGCAAAACACAGAGCTGCCGTTATATTTTCATTGCTTGGCAGAAAGATACCATCACCCTAGTTCATCAGGAGTCTTTTCCAGAATGGCCATAAATGTATCTAAATATTTAAAGGCCTCCAAAATGTGGTAAAAGTTTAGAAAGCAGTATATTAAGTGAGGCCCCCTTAATTTAAGGGACTTAATCTGTCTCAACAACAAGAAGGCATCGAGGGTCTCTTTAAAGGAAGAAGTTGAAAATGAGCAACTGAATCCTCCTGGGACTCCATCTCCTGTCTATCTGCACTCACCACCTAGGTAATCTGATCCAGTCTCCTGGCTTTAAATCCCACCTGGGAACTGAAAATAGATTTATATAGCTTCAATGTTCCCCCAACTATAGAGTCCTATGTCCCACTGCCTACTTACTATCCTCATCTGAAAGTAAGGAAAGTCTACAGGAATGTCCCCTCTCTGGGAATCTGGCCCTCCTCCAGTCTTTTCCATCTCACTCTATCCTCTCTCCTTTTCAACCCACATCGGCAAATAACCAAATCCTGCCATACCTACCTTCCAAATATATCCAGAATTTAACCTCCTTGTACCGCCTCCATCCCTACCAACTGTCTGAATCAACCCCTTCTCTTTTACAGATTATTGCAATAACCTGACAGATCTCTCTGCTTCCACTTCTTTTTTTAATGAAAAATTGTAAGTACAGACAATAAGAGTTCATATGACAATAAACCCCAACAGGCTCAACATCCTCCTCCACTTCTATCCTTACTCCTCCAGAACTTATTCCTCAGATAGCAAGCAGAATGATCAATTTAAACCTTAAAGCGGGTCAGGAAAGTAGGTTCTCATTAGAAATCTAGAAAAATAGTATACACGATCTTATTTGCAAAACAGAAATAGAGACACAGATGTAGAACACAAACATATGAACACCAAGTAGGTAAAGGTGGTGACATAGAATTGGGGTGTTGGTATTGACGTATATACACTATTGATACTATGTATAAAACAGATAACTAATGAGAACCTACTGTATAGCTCAGGGAACTTTACCTAGTGCTCTGTGGTGACCTAAAGTGGCAGGAAATCAAAAAAAGAGGGGCTACATGAACACAGACAGCTGACTCAGGTTGCTGTACCGCAGAAACCAACACGACACTGTAAAGCAACTATACTCCAATAAAAATTAATTTAAAAAAGAAAAACAATCCGGCTAAAAGCCAGTCCTTCTGAACTAAATGGTCCTACATGATCTGACCTCCTGTCCCCTCTCATCTCTCATCTTCATTCCCCTAGATGACATTACTCCAACCTGGGATGCCCCCGAAGCTCACTTTGATATAATCCTGAGCACAATGCCCAGGACATGGTAGGCGGTCACTAATACTGTTTTTTCCCCCTTTACAAAAGAATTTAATGCTTGGTGTCATTTAATCCCCACCATAATCCTGGCAGTTATTAGGTAAGGTGGCTACTAATATTCAGACAAGTCATGTAGCTGGACAGCACAGCCAGGATTCAAAGCCTGACCTAACTTCAGAGACAGTTCACTTTCTCACACTGAAGTTCACCTTCTGGCTGTCAGAATCACACAACAGCTAAAAACACAGGCTCTGGCATCTGACAACAGGAACTTAGTAAACTCATCTTTACCAGTTGTCATGTGACTTCAGCACAGAAAAGAAATCGTGCCGATCTTTAAAAGACTTCAACTTAAATTAACCCTAAGTGCTACTCCTCCAGTTCAAGAACAGAAAGCGTTTTGCCTTTCTTACTGTCAAAGAAGAGGTTCTGCTTGCTGGAACACTTCAATCTTCTTTGTGTTCAAGCCCTCAGGATAAAAGTTACTATTCAGAGAACTTGATATGGCTCACCAACTGAGGAAACCTCAGACCTATTCCATTCCCAACATTTTCTTCAGATATGCACACACATTTCTTCAAAGATGTAATCTGTACAAAAACAAATGTCCCTTATTGTAATTATCAGCCAAAGGCTTAGCCGTTCTTAAACTCAGACTTAAATCTCCCATAATGCTTGATATTATGGAACATAAAACATAGCAATCATATTAACAGGAAGCTAGAGAATATCTTAAGTGATACCCTTAACTTTGGGCTTGGCCAGGTGATTTCCTGTGGCCAGTGAAATGTGGGGAGAAGTGCCATGCCACTTCTAAACAGAAGCTTTAAGTAGCACCGTGGGGAACAGCGATGATGAGAGTCACGCCTTCAGCTGGGATCCTGAAATTATTAAGACACACAGAGCAGACAGACAACTGACCAGAAGGTGAAGCATCAGGTAAGTGTGAAACTACCCTTTATTATCATAAATCAAGGAGATTTGTTTGCTGACTCAGCATAACCAAGCAAAAGCTCTCTCACATGAGAAACAAGCTACTCCATGTCTTAAGGTATTACTTCTTACTGGCCTCTGAGCTAGTCATAAGGTTAACGGGTCAGTAATTTTACCACGAACAAGCTCAGTTCAGTTCAGTCGCTCAGTCGTGTCCGATTCTTTGTGACCCCATGAATCGCAGCACACCAGGCCTCACTGTCCATCACCAACTCCTGGAGTTTACTCAAACTCATGTCCATCGAGTCAGTGATGCCATCCAGCCATCTCATCCTCTGTCGTCCCCTTCCTCTCCTGCCCCCAATCCCTCCCAGCATCAGGGTCTTTTCCAATGAGTCAACTCTGCATGAGGTGGCCAAAGTATTGGAGTTTCAGCTTCAGCATCAGTCCTTCCAATGAACACCCAGGACTTATCTGCCTTAGGATGGACTGGGTGGATCTCCTTGCAGTCCAAGGGACTCTCAAGAGTCTTCTCCAACACCACAGTTCAAAAGCATCAATTCTTTAGTGCTTAGCTTTCTTCACAGTCCAACTCTCACATCCATACACGACCACTGGAAAAACCATAGCCTTGACTAGACGGACTTTTGTTGGCAAAGTAATGTCTCTGCTTTTTAATGTGCTATCTAGGTTGGTCATAACTTTCCTTCCAAGGAGTAAGCGTCTTTTAGTTTCATAGCTGCAATCACCATTTGCACTGATTTTGGAGCCCCCAAAAATAAAGTCTGACACTGTTTCCACTGTTTCCCCATCTATTTCCCGTAAAGTGATGAGACCAGATGCCATGATCTTAGTTTTCTGAATGTTGAGCTTTAAGCCAATTTTTTCACTCTCCTCTTTCACTTTCATCAAGAGGCTTTCTAGTTGCTCTTCACTTTCTGCCATAAGGGTGGTGTCATCTGCATATCTGAGATTACTGATATTTCTCCTGGCAATCTTGATTCCAGCTTGTGTTTCATCTAACCCAGCGTTTCTCATGATGTACTCTGCATATAAGTTAAATAAGCAGGGTGACAATATACAGCCTTGACGTACTCCTTTTCCTATCTGGAACCAATCTGCTGTTTCATGTCCAATTCTAACTGTTGCTTCCTGACCTGCATACAGGTTTCTCAAGAGGCAGGTCAGGTGGTCTGGTATTCCCATCTCTTTCAGAATTTTGATCCACACAGTCAAAGGCTTTGGCATAGTCAGTAAAGCAGAAATATATGTTTTTCTGGACTATCTTGCTTTTTCGATGATCCAGCAAATGTTGGCAATTTGATCTCTGTTTCCTCTGCCATTTCGAAAACCAGCTTGAACATCTGGAAGTTCACGGTTCACGTATTGCTAAAGCCTGGCTTGGAGAATTTTGAGCATTACTTTACTAGCGTGTGAGATGAGTGCAATTGTGCGGTAGTTTGAGCATTCTTTGGGGTTGCCTTTCTTTGGGATTGGAATGAAAACTGACCTTTTCCAGTCCTGTGGCCACTGCTGAGTTTTCCAAATTTGCTACTCTGTCGTAAATCCTACATGTGCTTACTCCTGTTTCCTATTTTTTGATTCTTGGGTAAAAATATGCTGAGCAGAACAAAACAAAACAAAACAAAAAAATATGCTGAGCAGAACAAAATTAACTCAGGAGAAAGCAGTGCACATAAGACAGTCTGGAAGCAGGGCATCTATGTTTTAAAAAGTTACAGCACAGGGTAGTGTCGGTTAGAACGAAAACCATTGGTAGCCTAGAGAATTCATAGCCAGGTCACAGGCTAACAAGTGGTAGAAAAATTCTGCACTTTCACATAAACTAAACTATATCTGGTTCTCCAGCCAAGTTTGGTAAATAATTTTCCAAAAACACGAACTTTCTACCTTTTTAGACTTTAACAAGCACCTGGTGCAATACCATCCCTGGGTCAATGACAAGAGACACATCATCCCTGTTTATCATTTCCTTAGAATTGAAAAAGTCCAACCTGAGTTCAACAAACTCAAAAGTAATAGATACAGGAATTCTGATCCAGACAAACACATATTGCTGCAAAGGTTTTACAAAATAAATTTATAAACTAAGATTATAACTCAGCCACAACCAAAAAAGTAGAAATTTACTCAACTAATCTCAAAGGCACACCAACCACTCCCCACCCCACCCCATCCCCAAAAAAGGGCTACAACAATAAAAGAACCAATGAATAAAGTCCTTTCTTTACAAAAGGCAATATTTTAGGTCCTTTTCGAGATACAAAAGATAAAAAGAGACCCTAGCATTTATGGAACTGAGTGCAAAGATGTAAATAAAAAGTTAGGAGTAAAAATATTAATAAATGAATAGCAATATCTTTTTAAAGAAAGTAAAGAAAAAACAGGCCGTGACATGACACATTCTTGGGACAATCTAGCAAAAAAAAAAAAAGGTCTGAACTATACACACCTGACAAAATATCACAGTGTTAAAATGTGTTGACATACTGTTCTTCTTCTTGCTGCAAGAAGCAGACTGGATTAACACACTGTGGTTATGACCTTAAACAACATCCAAGATTTCTGTGTACCTTCCATAAAGATAAGCTACACATCCACACTGAGGTAAAAAGAATCAATATCCTGCTTAGGTCTTCTCGATTTAGAGAAACTTTCTGCTTGTTAAGTCTTCTGTTACACACGTCTTCATAAACAAATTGGGAGAATCTCTCTGTATTCCCTAGTAAGACGTAAGAAAACTGCGATTGGGAGGCCAAAGCCCAGGAAAGATATTAATAAATATTGGGGCATACAACTGCCCTACCTAGCACCGAAAATCCATTTAGTTACTCCCCACAAAGACGTGGCTGTAGACAAACCCACTTCTATGACCACACCAACTGCCAATCACACCAGGAAAACCACTGAGTGACTAAAACCTCCCACATTGAGTATGTTCTCAAATACCCCATCCTCCAACTGAATCCCCACAGTAAAATTCATGTAAATGTCCCTTCAATTAAAATTTTTTTAACTGTTATAAAAGCTCCCGTTTGAAACATTTTGATGAAAGAAATTAAAAAACAAACAAAAAAAAATCATACTTTGGATTTCCTGATTTCAAACTTCCAGTTATGAAAATGCACTTACTTCTTTCCTTACCAATATATTTACACTTACAGGGATTCATCTTCTACCAGTCTGCTACAAGAAAAAATTACAGCCCACCATATACCAAACTCAAGAAT